CCCCAAAACCCCAAAACCCCAAAACCCCAGATGGATTATCTGCTGTTGAATACGGATGCTAAGGTTATGAAATTTGTAGTATTTAACCAAAGAAAATGGTAGAGATTTTGGTCATGCGATTGGAATATCCTTGAAAACTAGTCGCGATTAATGTGATGAGAGAGAAAAACTAACCTACGAGAGCGAGAAATTAAAGAGAGAATTTAATTTAAATCTAGCTAAAGCTTTGGAATGACTAATAATCTTCATCGATAAGTGTACTTTAAGGACGGTTTGGGGAAGAATAATGGAGAGCAATATATTATAAGAAGCTTCTTAGGTCTTAATATAATTCCTTCTAACTCTAGCTGAATTAGATTTCATAAACTTCACATAACTTTCGCTTCCAGTGGTGATACAGAGTGGGAAATATGAATTATGAACTGTTCGTGTACATATATCATTGGGAAATTTAGAAATCCTGCTTATACAAAGTCTCTGATGATTCCCCACTGAAAACCATTTTCCTGCTCATCTATTGGCCATTTCTTTGAGCCTATTTGCCGTCAAAAGGCATGGCTGCTTTCTCTTTGAATTTTAGGGAATCCATGATGCATTAAAATTTTCGAATTTTTATTAAGAAATCTTGGTTTTTAGAATCGATTGGACATTTAGATGAGTTCTGAAATTTCTGACACTTAAAATTTTTAGTCTTGCCGCTCCAAAACTCTAGGATGCTTCAAGGCATGAAGCTGAATGAGCCTAAGCTCCTTGCTTTAAAGATATCTCTAGCATGTAAGTTCTATCAGCAGAATTTAATATGCATGGTTACTTAGCTTACTACCGTCATCAGGTCTTCTTCCCGGTAGGTTTTGAAGCAAGGGAAATCATCCTCAGCTTGAATTCTGAGTTAAGAGAGTCATTTTAGGTCTGATCCTTCGAGTTGTAGCAGGAGTCAGCGATTTTCCAATTCTTCTTTGATGCTATTTTCTATCAAATATTTTAGAGCAGTCAGGGCTTGAAATTTTGTGAGAGTTCAGTGTAGAATTTGATTACCTTGTTGCGTGATTGTTTCAAAAGAGTTCCCTTGTTAAAGCAGGCTAATCATAGATGGCTCCAAGAGCATTTTTTGATGCTTCCAAAGCTTTTAGTTATTCTAAAATTTATCACTGCTCATCACTTTACTAACATGCACCAATTTGAAGACTCTTGAAATGGTTAGTGAAAGCTCTCCATCTAAGCTATTGAGAATAGTCTGGAATTCTTAAAGCTGTCTTCGAGGTATGACTCTTTATTACACAAAGAATTTTGAGAATTCGCTGAAAAATTTAAGAGAAGAGTTCTACGAAAGTTTTGGCAAAAAATTTAAAACTAATAGTTTTCTAAAACGGCTCTTGTTCAGGGCTTGCTCTAACTGTTCTGAATAGCTAGAGATGCTAGAAATTAGTCTCTGTTCAAGATTTTAGTGGTGATATACTTGATATGATCTCTAGTAGTGAATAACCCTCTGCTTTAATGCTGAACCTCCAGACATTTTGAAGAGAATTATTTTTTATCATAGAAAATATTTAGAAATTTCATGTAGTAGAAGTATGAAGTTTGTGGCAATATTTTCAATTTTGAAATAGGAGACTTCCTTTACTAAATTGCTCAAATAAGACTTCTCTGGGTCTTGAAATTCAGTGTAACCTTAAAAGCTTATATAGTTATTCGATACCAATTTTGGCCTACTAATTTAGTACCAAATTCTAGTGAAAATAACAACCCAGTAGATAGAAGTGAACCCTGTGTTATCATGCTAAGGCATTCTGGTTTCTATCAAGAGTCTTCCCTTCCCATCTTTAGACAAATCTAAGCACCCAAGAGGTGGTTTCACTTGAAATATCAGAGAATTTTACCCAAAATCCCCAGTTTTGAAATAGATTTTGGAGGGTTAAGGAATCAGAAAATTTCAAAAATTTTATTTAAAACTGAATTATGATTAGAAAACCCAAGTAAGCAGCGTCGGGATAGACATGCTTATTTTGGGAGGCATTCCAATGCATCTCTGAGTTTTAAAGCCCTTGGGTCATCACAGTGGTTTGCCAAATGCTTCACTAATGTCTGAAGATTCGGAGACTTCATTATTGCTCTGAACTTTGTCATGGAGAACTTCCTTGTTGTTTCTAAAAATAGCCGAATTTCCTTCTTGACTTCAGAAGAGCATCTCATTCTAGATGGACTCTTTAGGCTCAAAATGCCTACTAAGAAATAAGCCAGGCTGGGAGTCATTTCTTCATCGGCCATAACCCTGGAAAGAGTGAGAGTTGTACTTTGAAGGACCTGCTTCATCGGTCAGTTAATGTACCTCTTCCGAACGATTTCAGGGTTGTGGTTTTTAAAGAATTGTAGAAAGAACTTCCTGCAAAACCTGAGGTAGTCTCTTAGATTTTGGTCATATCTAGTTGTGTTTTGAAGAAGTCTCAAATGCTTGTTGCCTTCCTGGGATGGTGGAGAGGAGTCAGGGCTAACACTACTACCAAGATTTCTATCTTGAGCAATCACATCTACCTGATTCCTTAATGATGAATCCTCTATTGCAGGCTGTGTAACAGTAGACGAAAAGCCTTGAAGCTTATGACCTTTATCTCTTGGCTGCATCAAGAATCAACCATTGTTGTCAAGAGCTGTAGGTAGTTTCTCACTTTTGGATTCAATTCAATTTGATCCGATTATTTCTGAATAAAATTCTTTGTTTTTAGCGAAGTAATTCATCTCTTTTGACGAAAGCTGGAAATCCTATAAAACTGTAAGTTGCTAATTTTTGAAATCATCAAACAAAGATATGGATTAATACGTTCCACTAGTGCAATAAAACCCAGTTTAGAAGTTAAGTAGCCTAGATACTGAATATTGATCACTCAGGAGTATGCTTACCGTATTTTGGGAGACCACACTAGCGAACACACTACCTTCGTAGATGTAGTCTTGCTGGGATAAAGAATACTCTGAATTTGTCGAAGGATGAAACATAAATGATTGGTATTTCTAATTATTATTATTTCTCTTTCAGCATATCTTAAATACTGTGGGGTTTTGGGGTTTTGGGGTTTTGGGGTTTTGGGG